GCAGGGCTGCAGGCACAGATAAGCACCTTGGACCTTATCACTTCCCAAGGCAACTCTTGTGTCAAAGTGAAAGGAAAAGCTGACTGTAAGAAGAAACACAGCCCTGAATTCTACTGGATCTCAAACCAGTTACTGACGGGAGGAGTAATCCAAGCACTGGTGGGGAAATAGCTGCTTAACACAGTTAAACACATCTGAGACCACTGCCCCTGAGAAAGGGGCTGCAGCCTTGCCCTCCCTGTGCTCCCACCCCTTCCTCTGCATCAGCTCTGCCGTCTGATCCATGAGGAGCAGGTTCAGAGATCCCAGCATGGTTTGGGTTGAAGGGACATTCAAGCTCCTCCAGTCCCAACCCCTGCCACGGGCAGGGACACCTTCCTCTCGAGCAGGTTGCTCCAAGCTCCTGCGTCCAACCTCGCCTTGAACACTGCCACGGATGATGCTAAGGACAGGTGAGATACTCAGTGTGGCTGCTCATCTCCACTTACTCCATCATAACCAAGAACAACAAATAAGAACAACTTGTGCCTAAGAGTTCATCTCAATCTCCCCTCTGGCAGGTTCAAGCCATTGCCCTTGGCCTGTCCCTCCAGGCCCTTGTCCAAAGCCCCTCTCCAGGTTTCCTGGAGCCGCTCTAAGGTCTCCCCTCCAGGAGCCTGCTCTTCTCCAGCTGACCCAGCCCAGCTCTCTCAGCCTGGCTCCAGAGCAGAGCTGCTCCAGCCCTCGCAGCAGCTCCGGGGCCTCCTCTGGCCTCGCTCCAGCAGCTCCACATCCCTCTTGTGCTGTTGCCCCAGAAGATGGAAGAGGAAATGGGACCATTTCAGTAAATCCTACAAAGTCAACTGTGTCTAGTAAAGGAACTGGCTTTGCACCATCTTTCTTACTGGGCTGTCACATTCCCACAGCTGGTTTGGTATTTCTTTATTCAGGCACAGCTGATGAAGGACAGATCAACATTGCCCAGTTTTCATTGCTAAGTTCCTCTGCCACAGGGCTCCAGGAGATGAGAAGAGGAACAGTTTAAACTAAGCTTTTGCTTTGAACCACCTCCTTAGGATCCTTCCCTGTTGACTCTTTTGGGCAGTTGGGCATTAATGCACACTTCAGCTACCCCACAGCTCTTGCCTCCATTGGTTTTTGGTGGAAGATGCTCTGGAGGAGCAGTGGGATGATGTACCTCATACTGTGACAGTGAAACACAAGTCATAATATAATTGTGGGGGGAAATTCAGAATTCACATTTCCAAGGTGTAGAACTTTCATCCCTGGAGTATTCCAAATGTGATCAGCCCTTGAGCAACCCATCATCACAGCTGGCCCTACTCTAAGCAGAGCGCTGAACTACACGGCCTCCAAACTAAACTACACAAGTCTGGGACAAGGGTTTTCTTGACGTTTATTTAAATAAAACATTGGCAAATAGCTTGGAAAACCACCCTCAAGTTTTAACAGACATGTTTGTTTAATCCAGAGATTGGGAAGTTGTCCCTTCAGTTTCTTAGCTGAAGGGCTGTATCTAACAAGAACAGAGGAGGAATGATTTGATAAGCATAAAGTGAAATGGCAGAAGAGAACAGCAGCTTTGGAACAAAACAAATCCAAACCTCCCCTAGCTGCAGACAAACTGTCCTCATAGAGATGTAGAGAAACCAAACATTAGGTCACTATTCTGAAGGTGTATTTTTTCCCTCTCTTTGCTGAAATAGGACATTCCTGCACAGGTTAGGCCACACCATGTCACAGCCTGAACACTATACACGTGGCTTATGGCGAAAAGGTCTCTATTCCTGTTCACATTCCCGACTTCATGGTATTCCTGCTCCCACAAAACCATGTCTGCAGTGACTGGACCTCCTCTCACACCGTTATCAACACACAGGTACCAACCATGTCACCACCTTTGTGTTAGGCTGCTTTCTGCTCAGCTTTAACTCATATCCTGGTTATAGCTGGTTCTCCTCCTTTCTCCTTCTATGTTCTTCCTAGTGGATTCTACTTGCTTTGCCCCAAAACTATTTCTACCCTACTCAGTGTGCTAAGGAACAGGAACAGAACACTACTATCAGCTACCTACCATTTGGGCAATGTGGTTAGCTTGTGGCTGAGCTAAAAACCACTGAGGGGTGGGAGCACTGGGACTGGCACCATGAACACTGGTGCTCCCGAGGCTGGGCAGAGCGAGCTCACTGCTTGACAGAGAGCTTTAAACCCTGTGCCTAGAGAAGGAATGCTGATCTTCAGGGAGGAATCTTCTCTATCACACACTTCCTTCGACTGTAAAGTGACAGGATTCCCAGTTTGCAAAGCAGCTGAGTATGAAGGTCTGTCCACATCAACACTGCATCACATCACAGAGTAAGTGGAGATGAGCAGCCACACTGAGCATCTCTCCTGTCCTCAGCCCCATCCCTGGCCGTGTTCAAGGCCAGCTTGGACACAGGGGCTTGGAGTAACCTGCTCTAGTGGAAGGTGTCCCTGCCCGTGGTAGGGGTTGGAGCTGGAGGAGCTTTAAGGTCCCTTCAACCCAAACCAGGCTGGGACTCTGTGGTTAACATGGATGGGAAGCATCAAACTAAGAGCATTTTGAAAATGTCTGCTTCCATTTTCCGTTCTACCTGTGCTGCAGCAAGTGAAGAATAAACTATGAGAGTGCAAAGCATCACAAAGGTTTTGCACCATGTCACTGCACTGACTCATAGGTTAATGGTGGGTAATTGAGCCTCCTGTGGAACCCTTCACAGGCAGGCATATTAGCTTCCTTCACCTTCCCACTCAAAAGAGGCATTAGTCTGTTTTTAAAGCAGTTTAAGCCAATGAGCTTTGCATACTAGTTAAAAACATCACTTCTTGCACTCTTCCAAAACTA